AACACCACCCGTACGCCCGCCCAGGGCAAGGACATCCTCGAGGCCATCGGCCGCCGCTTCAAGGAGGTTCTCCGTCTCAAGGAGGCGGATGCCGTTGAGTTCTCTGGACACACAGACAGCGCGCACAGCGGCAGCACGAGAGCCAAGGCCAAGTTTGTCGTCTGAAGCGCCTGCTAGCTTATGTCGCTTTGGCTTTATGATATCATAACGCGGTGGTTTTCGCTTGTTTGCTATGGATTAATGGAAAAGGGCTCCGTGATGATGCGCGGTAACGAAAGGGAAAGGATCAGTACAAGGCATTGCCTGTGGGAGGAGACATATTCCAAACTGGCTTGCCAGCACTTCGCAGTGAGGTGATGATCTGGTTGCAGGTCTTTTCCTCAAGACGTATTTCGGACGAGGTTTATACCATATTCTGTTAAATTTCAGTGTTGTCCCTTGTGGGATCGGAGAATACAAGAAAATGATTCGAATTGCTGCAATCACTTGACCTGTCTGATTTTTGCTTGCATGGTCACGTTGCTGTCCTTCAGCTCCATTATCAAGATAAAACCTCAATGCTGGCCGTGTATACACCGAGTACTGTACAAATGTTCTTTTTATTCTCGGTGGCTATTCAATGTAAATGACATCCTCTTCTTGTATGCCGCACGGGTTAAGTAGGGCTCGGTAGCGAGTACAACTGGAGTCGGTGGTGGTTAGCGGTCCATGACCGTGGGGTGAGTGATCTTGATAATTCCTGTTTAGGAAATTTTCGAAGTGAATGAGGCGCCATGAGTATCGCTGTCCCTATCAGGCAGTAACCCACCAGCCTTTTACTTTTCATCATCATGTCGAGTCTCACGGATTCATAAAGCACCTTTCTCGTCGGTCTTCCCTAACAACTTCTTTCCTTCTTGACTCAAGTCCCTGCCTACCCACTCATCCATCTTCTTCCCTTTCTTTCTCCACCACCATAATTTCCTCCTTCTCATCCTTTCTCTCATCATCTTCCCTCTTCTCGTCTTCTTTTTATCCTCTCTCTTCTCATCCTTCTTTCTATCCTTTTCAACCTTCCCCTACCCTTCTTTCGGCCCCTTCTCTTTCTATCTTCTTCTCTCCCCTTCCTCACGAGACAGGTACGTGACCCCGAACATTGTCCCCAATTGCTAATGTTCTATCTTTATTCGTAAGTTGTGCCGGATCGAGCATTTGTTCGTGACAGCGCAAGCAGGTTTTGGGCTCACTGGAAAAAACTTTGAGCTTGCCGTACCTCCAGACTTCCACTTGCAAGTTCTCGAGGGCCTATGGACGGGTGGTTGGGTTGGGCCTGGGCCACCAGACTCCAAACACGAAAGGGTAAGTCATTCCCCTGCTTTGGAGGTGGTGGGCTTCAGTAGATGCTGACTTCTGGCTGTTGATATATCTGTGTGCTTTGCGGACTGTGAAGAGGGAGGGTCTAACCCGGAGCTGGTAAGTAAGTCTCTTCAATTTGTTCTGTGGTGTGTTGATAGGGCGAGGCATTTTGCTGATCAGCTTTGGTTGGTATAGATATCTTCCAAGGGTGGCTCTGGGGTGGCTAGTTCGGAGACAAGTGCTTCTGGTGCCTGTGTGTCTGCTTAGAAAATGAAGGTGGACACTTTCTCTCGCTGATTGTGTTGGTAGATGTGGTTTTCTTGTATAATTTTCTCCTGCTTAATGGAGGTCTTCTGTTGTGATTTTCTGTGGTATGCTAGCCTGCGTCCTTCTGTAAATCTGCAAACCGAGTCTCTTTTCGAAAATTGAGACTTGTATAGCATCCATTCTTATGTAAATCTGTGAATCGAGTCTATTCTTGAAACATATGCTGTCTTGGACGAGAGAAAACCCCATCCCACTTGACTTCTTAACCAAGGGGTCCCCAGTGTGAAGGACTCTGGGATATCTGGCCTGTCTTGCTATACGACGTGGCGAGAATCATCATAGGTGAAAGTACCAAAGGATCTATACTGCCCTTCATGAACCCATGAAACGAAAGTCTCGATGTCATATCATAATATATATGTGCTCTTTGGCAAGTTCTGGCATGACAGTCACGAGCAGACTAAGCAGAAAGAGGGAAAACAAGACTACAGTCAATGGATGGATGACATATAGAGGGACTACGGTGGATCGTTTCCTTCGTGGACCATAAGCAACAGCTGGAAGCTAGTTAGCAATCAATCAGCTTCTGCGGTAATTGGTTTCAAATCCGATCCAGCCATGCTATAATGCATGCCCGCCTATTATGCTGTTATCTTGTCGACCAGAAGGACCCTCGTCACGCTGCCCATAGTCACAGGCACAGCCTAAGATGGCGCCTTCCGAGTTACGATCTCGACACCGTACTGCGAGAACAGCAATCCACCTCATCATCCTGAAGCTCTGCTGCCTACTTTTCCAATTTTTCCTTTGATAAAAACGCGCACTGGGTCAGAAACAGGTGTGCTTCCGCATATTCCGAGCGAATTAATGCCCGACGGTTGACCATTTATCCACCCCTGCGCGAATTGTGGATCCGAGACAAGACATGATCGTCTACTTTAAAAGGCTTGGAAGGTCACAGATAATGCTTGGTAAGGAGCCTTTTTTCACTGCAAATGAAAACTGACATTGCGCCTTGAAGTTTATGCGCCTCGAGTTTTATGATGGCAGGCTGAGTCTAGCAATGCTCTGGCCTTATCAGAGTTTGATCCCCTCATACGAACACTCCCAAGGCCGGCTAAGAAGTCCGATCCACACTGTCCTGCGAACCCAGGCGACCGTGGTCCCCTTCCGACTATCTCGCAAAGGTGCAACGCAACGGCTTGAGTTGGGAACAGTTCCAGAATAGCAACCGTGCAGATCATCAGCACGGGTAATTCAGCCGATCACGGCCGCCGCCCGGTTTAGCCAAGAGGCCTCCGCCTATCGTATACACGTTAGATGCTTGTCGCTGATTGAGTCACTCTCCGCTTGGCAACACTCTCACGGAATGTCGCCGTCGCGAGTCATAAAAAGGGTCGGCTTGATTGGCCCGGTCGTGCTTAGCACGCCATCCCTAAAGGCATCGGAGTAAGATCGGAGCCCTTTCTGCCTTGGAGTCTAGCGCGCCAACGGCCGAATAAGAGGACGAAAACGAGGCGGCCACGCCCTTCGAGGCTTTGCGCCTTTTGATATATGAACTGTTATCTCTCCAAGTCAGCAAGTGTTTCGAATCATGAGTCGAGCGGTGAGATTCATGGCCAGGGGGGTGTGTTGACCATGACCAAACCAGTTGGTGGCTGAAGGCTTTCCGAGGGCGAAGTCGGACCTCGAACAGGTACTTAACCTCAACAGACACTACCCCACCCCACGCGCGCTCTCAAGGAACGATTTCCAAAAGCCTTTTTTCCCATCATCACCTCAGAACATCCATGACACTTCACTGACCTCATATATCTTTGGGCAAGACGAATAGGACAAGGAAGAAAGGTGTCTTACGATGGACAGATGTCTCTCTCCAGGTTTTGCCCTGGCGGCTGGAGCCGATCAGAATGGAACCATACCCCAATGAGGAAGCCTTCGATCGTCGTCAACAACGCCCAGTCCGTGTACAGCAATGATCCGATCAGAACTCATCAGACGAGCAACGTTTCTCCGACTCCATCCCCATATCTTAAGGGAAAGCTAAGCTGGGGATTTGCCGACGCCTCGGCTCCCCCGTCGGCTCCCCCATAGACGATAACTCTGTTCCACTCGCCCGCCCCTTCGAGAACATCGCCTAATCTACGCGGTATGGGTTCAATGGCATTGCGAACTCTCCGATTACGGCTTGAGAGCAAGGGAAAGGCAGAGGAGGCAGCAGGAATAAGCACAGTTGTGGGCTGAGACAAGCATTGCTTGTTACAGAAACACAAGGGATATCTCGGAAGGGCGATTGCATTGCTCCTGTCGAGTGACTTGATTTGATTTGTGATGCACTGATGAAAGATCACAAGCTACCGGTATTGACTCATTTGCTCGCACACCACACGCGGGGAAGCCCGACGTTGCAATCATGCTGAGTGCTGATCCTCGCATGGACAGGCGGGGGAACAAGATTTCCAACGCACGATAGGTGGCCGGTGGCCAGTGGCCACAGCCAGCGCGCGCGCCCTCTGCGCCCTCTGAGAAACACGGCGGAGTTTCCTTCCAACTCCGTTTGAGTCACGAATAAGACACGCCATGCTTATCTGCTAGCCTACAGCTAAAAGTGTTTATGTTACCTAACATGTTCCGCTTGCGGTGGTCCAACCGACGGCACGAAAGATTGGATCACTTTTCTGTACGAAACGAATTTCCGGGTCCTGATTAGGCTAGCTAGCTAGCTGGCCATGCAGTCCGTCAGTCAGTTCATCGGACATTATGGTTCTCTGCAAATTTGAAAGGCCAGCCAGGGGTGGTGGCGCATAACCATGAAAAAGCGGACGATATGCAAGACAAAGCTCAAACAGGCAATGATCTCGAGTGGGCGAGGGAAGGACTGGAAGCGAGGGGTGGAAAAAAAACTGCGAGGAACTGTTTTTCGCCACGAGGGAAAAGTGGAAATTTGGTTCGAGGGAGGAAAGAAAAAAACATTCCGCACTCACCGGCAGGGCCCGACCTTCTTGGCGTTCCAAACTGCAGCCGGGTTTTGCTCCCCCCCTGCAAGCCAATCAACGTCTTTCCCACTTGTCTCAGGTCATGCTTGGTGCTGCTTGTCATATCAACATTTTGCTTTCAGCCTGGGGTTACATCGGCATCTCCCCTGCCTCGGCCGTCGCCATTTGCCTTCCTTTCCACCCTTCGATGGGGTATCTCCTCTATCTATCTAGCGACCATTGGTTCGGGGACAAGATGGGTCCGCTTCGGTTACTGTTCCTATATCGTCGACCGTCGAGGGAGATATAAGGTGAGGGCCGTTTCCCTCCTCAACGCTGGTCTTTCTGTCTTCTTTCCTGTGGAAATCTTCCCTACTGCGACCGTTCCTGTCGGACCTGTTCCCTTGCCTGGTCTCTGCCACCATGTCTTCCGGAGATCGCGAGGCTGATATTGCTCAGTATGTGCTCCTTTTCTTTCCTATTCTTGTCTTGTGTCTCTGTGCGCCTTCCATGTAGCGCAGCGCCTGCTGAGTCATCAAGCATTGCCCTACCGTCTCGAGACTAACATGTCATGCTCCAGGCCGTTCCAACAGGGCCATGGCACTATCACCGAGGTCACCTCGAACGAGAAGGCCTACATGACGGAGAAGGCCCTCGACGCCACTCCTGATGGTGAGGAACCCAACCAGGAAGAGGTTCGAACCCTCCGTCACGTCGCCGAACATCTGCCTGTCTCTGCTTGGCTCGTCGCTATTGTCGAGCTTTGCGAGCGTTTCACCTACTACGGAATGTCCGGCATGTTCCAAAACTATATCCAGCGCCCTCTCGATGGCAGTGAGGGTCGTGGTGCCCTTGGCATGGGCCAACGTGGTGCCACTGGTCTGACCACTTTCTTCCAGTTCTGGTGTTATGGTTAGTCATTCTGGCTCGGTCCGTCCTCATTCCTCTTACTGACCTCGGTCCGTAGTTACTCCCATCCTTGGTGCTATTGTCGCCGATCAATACTTAGGCAAGTACAAGACGATCGTGGTTTTCTGTATCATCTACCTGGTCGGTCTCCTTATCTTGGTTTGCACGTCTATCCCCACTGCTCTCTCTCATGGAGCGGGTGTTGGTGGCTTCATCGTTTCCATCTTGATTATTGGTCTGGGAACCGGCGGTATCAAGAGTAACGTCGCTCCTCTGATTGCCGACCAATACAAGCGGAAGAAGATGGCAATCAAGACGACCCCCAAGGGTGAGCGGGTCATCATCGATCCCGCCTTGACCATTCAGCGCATTTACATGATCTTCTACGCCTGCATCAACATCGGCTCCCTGTCCCTGATCGCCACGCCTTACATGGAGAAGTACATCGGCTTCTGGTCTGGCTACCTGCTCTGCTTGTGCATGTTTGCCGTTGGTACTGGTGTCCTTATCTTCGGTCGCAAGTTCTACGTCGTCCGTCCTCCTCAGGGTTCCATCATCACGGATGCTTTCAAGGCTCTGGGAATCATGATCGTCAACCGCAACATGGACGCAGCCAAGCCTAGCTGGCAAGCCACCAATGGAGGCAACCGAACCAACCTGCCCTGGGATGATCACTTCATTGATGAGCTCAAGCGCGCCCTGGTCGCATGCCGTGTGTTCGCTTTCTACCCCGTCTACTGGGTTGTCTACGGCCAGTTCTCCAGCAACTTCGTCACCCAGGCCGGTGAGATGGAGGGCCACGGTATCCCCAACGACTTTATGCAGAACTTCGATCCTATCTCTGTCATTGTCTTCATCCCGGTCTTGGAGACTCTGGTTTACCCTCTGCTCCGCCGCATGCGCATCCAGTTCCGCCCCATCACCCGTATCTCCGTTGGATTCGTCATCGCCTCCCTTGCTATGATGTACGCGGCCATTGTCCAGCACTTGATCTACTCTGCCGGACCTTGCTACGGCAAGCCCCTCTGTGATGCCTCCATCGTCGATGGTTCGGCCACTGGCAACCACGTCCACATCGCGATCCAGACGCCTGCCTACGTCTTCATCGGTGTTTCTGAGATTTTCGCCTCGGTGTCCGGTCTGGAGTACGCCTACACCAAGGCGCCTCCGTCCATGAAGTCGTTTGTGCAGTCCATGTACCTGCTTACCAACGCGTTCGGTTCCGCTATTGCCGAGGCTCTGACCCCCGCTGCGTTCGACCCCGCCATCATGTGGATGTTCGTCGGTCTGGCCTGCGCCTCCTTCATTGCCGGTATCATCTTCTGGGTGGTTTACCACCACCTGAACGACCAGGAGGATGAGATGAACGCTCTGGACGCGGAAGATCCCGAGGTTCCTACCCCCATCGAGCAGGAGCAGAAGAAGGATGAGCACAACTAGATTCCTGATCGAAATCCCCTCCACACCCGCCCCCCCCCCTCCCCCATTCTAATGTATTATAATTCTTGTGTTTAGCTTTGCGATGTTCGTGGATGGCGTTTTGAAATTTTTGAAACGTGATATACTTGATCATCTCGCGCAGGCTCGCGTCCCAGCCCTTTGATGAGCAGATGCAGTATGACGACCCCATGTGTGTATATATGCAGGGTGTACGGATTGACGTTTTTCCCTTTTACTTACTACACTACATAGTATAGATTCTAGTTAGCATATCCAGAATTCTTATTTCACTTCCTCAAACATCTGGTCCTCTTCTCTTTTGTGACAGTATCGCCTCAACCGCATCAGTGTTTGAGACCACATGACCCATTCTGTCAAGTGGCCGCTCTATCCGGATGGGGCCCTCTTATTTTCAATTTTCTTCTACTCCTTCCATTCCGGCCCCGTCCCTGCAGTAGTTTGTCTTAGCATCTCTTGGCATTTTGGGCTTTCCCAGCTTATCCGCTTCCGGAACAGTGCCTGACTGGCTCCGCGGACCCAACACTGCAGTGGGGGCTCATGTCTTATCATGAGATGAGGGCTTGGCGGTGGGATTGCGGTTGTGATTGTATAATAAGCATTGCTCATGGTTAGGTAATGGTTTTCTTTCTTTCTTTCTTTTTTTTTTTTTTTTGCAATTAGCTTGATTTGGATTGAACGTGCCCCAGCACTAGACTACTGACAGTGTTGGTTGGTTGGTTGGTGCGGCTCTTGCTTTTGCGCTTGCTCTTGGCTGTTGCACTCAGTAGGTTGACTAGGACCACCATGGAGATTTTAGTATATAATTATCGTTTGATTGAAATCATTGAATGTTCTTGATAGTTGAGATTGATGATAGATATAGGTTATGTGTTGTTTATACTAGTCAAAAAGTATGGTGAGGATATCCCACCAATGCTGGAAGACACTGGGTTGGTTGAATGGTACGGAGTAGAATTTCGGGAATGTCCGGGTCGGGGTTTACTATTTTTTTTTCTTTTTTTTTTTTTTTTTTTTTTTTTTTCCCTTTTCCGCTGGTGGGCGGAAATTCTGCTGACTGGGATGGTAGACTAGACTAAGCTATTCCCTCCGGGAGTGGGAGGAAGTGCTGGAAGTACTGTACGTACTGGAAGGCTGGACGTTTGGGATAGGATCCATGGGTTCGTTTGTTCTTTTCTTTCTTTTTTTCTTCTGGTTCTTCTGGTCTGGTGGGGTTTTGTCTAGAAGCTGTGGTCTGGTCTGGTCTGGTCTACCGTATCTACTACGAATCTACAGTACGTACTCTGGTTCTGGGGTTTGTGGGAACTATTGGCTTTGGATTGGATTGGATTGCATTCGATTGGTTGGGACTTTTGCTTGTGGATAAGTTAGACTGCCATCGGCACACCACGAGGACGTTGACGTTCACATAATAAACCATGTGGATGTGGATGTGGTTATGGTTGTCGGTGCTCTGGTACTGTACCTGGGATTTGTGGGTTCGTGGGACGAAGTCTTGCAAGTATGAGTCAAGTGTGCTGGTCATGCTTGCTGTTTTTGGCTGGCTTGGGTCTATCTCCATGCCTCAGAGATGCCGTGCATTTGTACTGGACTGTTGTAGGTGCTGTATCTGGTTGTAGGTCAGTGGCTTGTGCTGCTGTGCTCGGTCTGGAAGGCCCGTTCCTGGACGGTGACTCTTACCTCTACCCTCTCCTACTGGGGTTACTGATACTTCTTGTGGATTCTCTGGCTAGTCCCTGGCTGGCCTGTCCAGATTTTACGTATGTTTGATGGATTCGTCTCGCAGGCACGGGTGTAATGTGGTTGGGGGAGTTTAGCTGTCAGTTCTGAGGCCCTGGGTAAAGGTGGTTTGATATCCCGCTGATCCGTCGGGCCGTGGAAGAGGCTGTTCGAAGTTTTGAGTGCAGAAAATATTGAAGTTTGTGCTGTACATACTTCTTGGAACTATTGTATGGCTGGGTGTAATGTGTAGTGCTTATACGACGTCTAGGTCTTTGCAACGGACATCGGATCAAAGGGGCATATTAGCTCTAATCCTGGTCCTTGGCCATGCGATTTCGGTTGGGAGATAGTTGACTGTTCGATGTAGGCTTGCAGAGATGCTTGCTTGGAAAGCTGCTTGCTCGCAGAGGTACTAGAATTAGTACTTGAAGAGAGACGGCACCTGCAGCAGTCACCTGCAACCTGCAACCAAGGTTCCTGAGAGGTTGGACTACGATTTCCATCATTGGATATAGGATTCATATGATGACCAGAGCCGACTATTATGATTGTGGGGCGCTTAAGCTTTAAGATTGTGCTCTATGAGGTGTTCGGTTGCGCGGGCTGTGATTGTATAGGCGGTGGCTATAGGTCATATGTCAAGTATAAGTAGCTTCTCGTATATCATAAATTGAAGTGAGATTCCCACCAAACGTTTATTCGCAGGTTCACCTGCTTAGAGAGTGGTTTGCTTGTTCAGGAATTCCTGGAGATACTTACTCTATGGGATACCTGAAAAAAACCATACAGACAGTCGCTTTACATGGGTTCTCTATGAGTGAAACGATGAGTCTTGTCGGTAAATTCCTCCTCCAGTTAGTCTCCAGGCAAGAACCGAAGGGATTCGCCGAGAGAATACCTATGCCAATTATATCTTGCTTCCTCGGGTACTTCTGGCGGCGGTCACGATTTTTTTAGTCGTGAGATTACATATGGATGAGTGGGTGAATCTCGACATGAAAGAAGGGAAGTCGAAAGCAGTTTCGAGCACTTCCGGGTCTATCCCATAGAGATGCTGTAGTTTAGCAGATGAACAGATCAGATTTGCAATCCTTGTGGCATGGCTCCGGTGGAAATCAGAGCTTCGGGCTCTCATTTCCCGTCGTGCATCCTGGTGGATCCTTGCATGCAGATATGTAGATTCGAGATGCAAGGTGACCCCATGCTCGCAGGTTCTGTGTATTGCACTCCTTTTCGCGTGTAGTGATTTACGCTTTGGATGGCATACTGGGTACTAGGCCCTTTGATGGACGGTTGCTGGAATCAGATGGTGGTGTGGACGGTGCCGTTGGAAGTGATTTAGTGGTATGTCCTAGGCTCTGTTGTCATGAGCGAGAGATCTCGGTTCAGATTGTGATTTGGCCTACAAGCATGTCTCCGGCCGTGGATTTGTTCTCCACCGGTTGCTATACTTGATGAGCAGAAAGAGAACTTGTTACTGTGCCGGAAGTTACAGTTGGCCGATCGTGATCTACGAGATACTTGCCGATGTCGATGTGTTTTCTGTAAATGGATACAGTTGGCAGGGAGAATATTGTACAAGTATTTCTATATAACAAGCGAGATGGTAGTATAAACAAGCGAGAGTCTTCCAGCCACAACGACTGCTGAGCCACGGAGAAGGCAGCACTGGCCCCTTCGAGTCAGGGAATGTGGCGTGTCCAGTTTTCAGTGGTGTACAATACAACGGGGCAGTGCCCTCCACTCCACCACACACAGCATACTCGTTCTCCAACCTACGAGATTGGCTGCACGTTGGGAATCGATTGCTAATTATAGGTGACCGTCTCTGACGTGCGGACAAACCAGGCCAGTGGCCACAGGATCTCCGGGGATTGTGGAGCTGCTTGCCTGGTGGAAAGGTACTGATGGTGGCGGAGATAACGCCAGAAAGTGTTTCTGAGGCGAGCCTGACTCGCATCTCGTTCAAACGACACAATGCTGCATTGTGGGATGATGGGTGAAACTTGACGGGATGGTTCGGTTCATATTTCGAGACACCTGTTGGTAGTGGGGAATTGTGTCCGCAGAGAAGCGGTCTGCGAGGGTTTTGGTTATGGTCTTTGAGGAACCTGGTTAATCTATTGACACAGTAGTTTCCAATTGACTGTTCGGGCCAGCCAAGAGTGGGGAGGACCGTTCAAGCTCTCCCAGCATAATCGAGTTGGTGTCATGTCAATGACGTGCAGGATGTTCCTGCCCCTCCTCTGCTGGACGGGGAATATACTTGAGTAAACTGGGTGTGGTACAGTATGTGGTGGGTATAGAGTCCGCGCAGTGCTGGATTGCTAAAACATTTCACTCAAGCATTGGGGCTGTTTGTGGTAGTAATTTATTCTAGGGCTCAATTGGTCGCGAGGCTTGGAGAGAGCGCCTTCATCTCCCACTTTGGCGCCCGGAAATTGAATGCAGCACATATACATCTGGATTGGACTGCACGGGTACAACAAAGTACAATCTGTATCTGCCCATGAGCATAGAAATTAATGGTCTAGAGACTTATTGCCTACAGATCAGTAGTCCATAGATCCGATCTGTCGACCTCACCGGTTGTTGCACTTCGAACCCGCCGTTTAGCCCCATCGCAGCTTCAGTCCTTCCCTTGTTTCACCAGTCCACAACTTAGATTATTGTTTTGATTGCCCTCCTGCTTCATGGAGAGGGAAAAGGGGACTCGAGGATCGTCCACTGGTCTGTGCAGTAGCTTGGAAGCCCCCCCCTACTAATTATACATTGGGCGAAAAATTGCAGTGGGCGCAGATTTCACCCCCTGACTTACCTGTGAGTCTGTGACCGACCTAGAGAAAAAGAGGAGGAGACTGCTGTTTTTGAAACAAAACCTTTTCCTGCTAACCACCCTACTCTTCAGTCATTCCTTTAACTGTTCTTCTTTTCTATACCTTCATTTTCTGGTTGAATTTGTGCGTGTTGTTGCTTTTGTCGAGAGGAATTGAATTGAATTGAATTGAATTACCGTCTGCGGGCCAGAGCCATTTAGCCAGTCCATCCAAGCCCTCTGAGCCCTCCAAGCCATCCAATCCTTAACCAAACCATCAGTCATTCCTTCAAACCGCCTCCGCGCCCGTGGCTCAGCAGCCGCCGCCAGTGTGTGTCTCACCCGTCACTCTTTCTTTTTGCCCTTCAATTCCTACCTCAACTCAAAAACTACTGCCTATTCTTTTTCCAACTTCCATTTCATCCTCGACCTCTCTTCCTCATTTCACCCCACCTTCGTCCCTCCTACACGCCCTCCTTCGTCTCGACCCCTCCGCCCTGTCGGAACGAACTCACCCCATCCTCTCTACCGTCGATCGCGCTATTAATCCCCCCGTCGTCGTTTCCCGTACGACCCGAGCTCCGATCGCTTTGCGAATTAGTCCCTTCGAGCCTGCGACTTTGACTCTTCCGCAAGATAACTTTTAGTGACGCTATCACTACGAAACTTTCATCTCGAATATACATAGCCTGGAAATAATATCACAATGAGTGTATGTCTCCGTTTAAAGCATGGTCACGACCCTCCGCGATCGCCGCTGCTACCCCTCCCCTGACTCCTGACCTCATGCGCACCTCGACCGTCATTGCTGACCTGTGAACAACAAAGTACGGAGGTAATCAGGGTGGCTACGGCCAGTACAACCCTTATGGCGAGCAGGGCTACAACCAGAACCCCTATGACCAGGCCAATGCCGTCGAGCAGGGCCAGGGTAACGGCACCTACGGTAAGCGCGCCGCAGCTCGGACCCGTCATGCGAACCTACCAGTTTCCTAACGCAAGCTCTCCACACCACCAGAAATGAATGCGATCGCGGAACAGCCGGCCGACGCCACCACGCTGTTGAACAAGTGCAGGGAGATCAACGATGGTATCGCGGACCTGAAGGCCAAGCGCGAGGGCCAGCTGGCCGCCGCCCAAAACGCCATGCTCGACTCCAGCACCGGAAAGGAGGACCAGGTCGCCCGCCAGACTCTGGATTACATTGAGGACGAGATCAACAACGGCTTCCGCTACCTCCGTGATCTGTTGAAGAAGATCAAGCAGACCCCGGGCTCCGGAGACAACCGCGTCCAGACGCAGGTCGACGTCACCAGCCGCAACCTCCGTCGCGAGATCGAACAGTACCAGCGATGCCAATCTGACTTCCAAAAGCGCCTGAGAGAGCAGGTTCGCAGACGTTACGAGATCGCGAACCCCGAGGCGACTCCCGAAGAGATCGAGCAGGGTGTCGACAGTGTGCTGATGGGCCAGGAGCAGAGCTTCCAGGTATGATGGGCCCTGTCCGCGATTGCCCCGGGTGACTCGCTAATCAGTGCTCTAGGTCACTGGTAGCCGTACTAGACAGGCCAACGACGCCAGACAGGCGGCCTTGGAGCGTTCGGCCGCTATTCGCAAGATTGAGCAGGATATGATCGAGCTGGGCCGACTGTACCAGGAGGTCGCAGAGCTGGTTCACATGCAGGAGCCTGCTGTGGAGCAGATCAGCCAAGACGCCGAGAACGTTGCTGGAAACGTCGCCAATGCCAACACTCAGATCACGGAAGCCATTGCCAGCGCTCGCCGGGCAAGAAAGTGGAAGTGGTACGCCCTGCTGGTCGTCAGTAAGTAGCTTTCCATCACCGAAATCATTGCTCTAGACGCAGCTGACATGTCTCCAGTCCTCATCATCGCTATCGTCGTTGGTGTAGCCGTTGGTGTTACCGAAGCCAACAAGAAATGAGGCCGGCTTCGTTCCAAGTTAACATCCGATGGCCGTGTTCGAACCAGCCGACTTGGGTCGGATCGATGCGGTTATTCACGTCGATCCTTAAATCCCTATGACCGATCCCGTTGTCGCACTATTTACGCCAGGCTGTAACGAATCCATTGATTGCGCCCCTTGTCCTAGTCCAGGTTTGTGCTTTTGCGTCGACGTCGGACAATTGGACAACCACGGGGCCGATTGTTATTTCCAGTTTTGAGTCTTTTTTTTTTTACTTCTTCTTTTCTGTTGGAATACCACCCTGTTCTTCTTTTCTTCGCTGCTTCTGATTCTCTGGTTGAAAAAGCATGCCCGTCACTGCGCTCTGAGGTCCCCTATGCTCCGTTCGGCCCCTCCGCTTCTTCCCTCTCGTGCTCTGCGTCTTCGCTTCCATTTTGTGTGGCCTGTATGGCTGGTATTAACTATCTGTCTTTGAAGGGGAGGGGCATTATGCGGCCTTGATGATGAAACTCGACCCTTGTCGCCACCCTGTCGGGGGTGCTAGGGGATCCGCGCAGGATGGCTCATCGCAGTGTATATAATAGAGTTGTTGTTCTTGTGTGTGTTGGGTGTTGTGTGTGCCTTTGGTTCGTTGGGCGCTAGAAACCACCAACGCCGCCACCACCACCACTGTCCCAATCCTTTCTACGTACTAATCGACTACTCTAATAATAATGATGCTTTCTTTGATGATTTATTTGGCTGTTGTAGATTTGTTGAGCGATCAACTATTCATGCATATATGTCCAGGATGCGAGAATATGTGTATACTACAATTATGTATTGCGAGACCTCCTCCCGCCAACCTACCTACCTCCGAAATTGAACCGTCCCAATGATGTATATTCATAAACGATGATGCTGATAGAAAAGTTACTGCGCCGCCCTCTCCCGCTCCCGCCCCTCCTCCTCCGGCGTCTTCGTCCGCAACTGCAGCGCATGGATCCCGCCCTCCCGACTCATCTCCTCCTTTAACAAGCTGTAGACCATCCGGTGTCGCGCGGGTTGGGGTTTCGAGGCGAAAGACGAGGAGGTGATTGTTACGCTGGAGTCAGAATCCAGATTAGTCTCGGTTTTTTTTGGGAAGGGGGGGGGGGTTGGCGTTGTTCGATGTCCTTCCTGGGTTTGAACTGGGCTGGGTCGGGGGCGAGACTCACTGGAAATGGGTTTCCTTGGACGTGGAGTCGCGCATGGGCGCGTGGTGGGCGTGTTTGTGCGAGTCGTTGCGGATGAGGAGGGTGGTGGGCGTGAAGGCTGTTGTTAACTGTTTGTTGGTTTGGTGTAAACGTTAGTGGAGTTGCTGGGGGTGAGTTCCGGGGACTGGGGATTGGATTCTGGTGGGAATGGGGATGGGCTGATTTGAGGTTGAGGCTTTGGATGCCAGACACGGTTGGCTCGGGGGCCGCTCACCTTTTCGCGAATGAGGTCTTCGACTGGGGTGTTGGAGGTCATTTTGACGGTGGTGGTTGAGAAGAACTGGCGGCTGCAGCTGGTAGGTCGTCGGAGGCCTGGGAGGCGGGTGGTGCGGAGAAGCATTGATTGATTGTTCTGGTGGAGGGGTGCGGTTGAGGTGGGAGATTCGGATTGCTTCAGGTACGGAGGATTGATCGGAGTAGAGGCCAAGGGGGGAGTTGTAGAGATCTATGGATTTAATGATGGAGGGTGTGGTTGTTGTGTCGAGCGGAGGGTTCAATTGGAGCGGGATGGAATTAATCCTATTGAACTGGTGCAGTGGATGGAGGTCGCAGAGAATCCGATGGCGGTAATTGGCTGGGGCACCTGGCAGGCTGATGCGTTGCTATTTTGGGATTAGCGGGGTGCTGCCTCCGCGGACTTTATCCGTACTGTACATCTGACACCTGCAGCACTGTACATCGTACCATATCTATAACAAGTCAATGGTCAACCTGATCGCATCGACTTAATCAAATGGCTCTTGAATGATAAATGACTGTCTCATTAGGTCTGCTGGACTCCGAATTACAGGGCAATGGGTTCTGCATGCGAACGGTGGTCAAGATGTTGGCCTTTCTGTCCTATTTTCGAGCATTCAAGAGCAATCTGCCCTCAACACGAGACAGATGGAAACTTAGGCTCGTAGGGGCGCTATGCAGATTAATTGGATTGCAGCGGCACTGCTGTCGTACCAATGCAATCCGAGCTACGGATTAGTTGGCTGTTAACTATCAGAGCGCTGCTGGCCTCGCTGACAGTCATACATCGAGGACACTTGCACCGCCATCCCTCCGGCAGCAAGAATTCCAGAATGAGCATGGCTGGCTCTCGCCTGTCACTATTGTATTTTAGCGCCCTCATGTGGAGCATATATTGGGCAGGCGTCTCAGGAAATGGCTCAGCCTGGTGAGCGCGAGCAAATTCAGGAACCTACTTGTAGGTCAACCCGGATGGCAGCAAGCCCACGACAAAAAACTATCGCAAGCCTAGCTGTCAAAAAAGTCCGGATGCACTAGCTATATCGGTGCTCCTGGAAGTGTTTCTATAGACAGGCTAGGGTGGCTATGTAACTGGTCGACAAAAACCAGGCCAGGCTGGTGATGCACCCGTGATGCAGCGTCAGCCCGCCATTAAGGTGCAGACAGCCATCGGACATGATTGCAAGTTCGTCGGTAATACACAGAGTTGTGTCTGCAAGCATTCGGATGTACGTTGCTGTACAGAATGGACCAAGGCTGATGGGCTCTGGTGAGACGAGCCCACCTGCTTTTATGCAATCTTAACTCACACACTGACATTGAGCTGAGGCTGGGCTGAGTATTTGTACTACCATGTCCATCTCATGCCTCAAGCTATGAAGTATAGCCTTATATAAAGACTTTGAAACGTGCGCAACAGGCAATGATCAACTAGATTTCAATATCCCGGTTGCGCTCCTGCTACAGCAAGGCAGATAGGCTCTTGTACTATTGGTGAGACCACTTCTCAGATAAGATACAGACACTGCCTAGGTAGATGGCATTGTAAAGGAGGTGATATCTCAAAGAATCTTTCAGATTTCCTGCTCTGCTATACACCTGTGAGATCATGTATGTGATCCTGACGTACTACAAGCCTATCGTCTTCGAACTTATCACAAATCTTCCTAATAGAGAGATAATATCCCCTCACGTACTTCATCATAATCAGCAAATGAGGCATTTCCTGGTTCATCTGCAGGATCTGAGAACATTCACTTTGCCGGAACACCTGAAAGTCGAGGTGAGACAGTAACCGCTAGACTCTATTCCCCCTGCTACTGACAGACTCGAGCTCGTTATAGATATAACCCAACAAGCCTTCTCTCCCCTGTAGTCTTTGAAGAAAGCTTAGGACACCCGGTGGACCTTACAAATCGAAGATCTAACTGTTTTATAGTTCCAAGATCTACCAGAGTCACATGATCGCTTCCCCAGACGAAGCTCCAGACATGGGGAACAGCCGATAACCGGAGCAACGGGTCTTATCGCAACGCCGAGACCGCCGATTCTCCGCCAACCTCCGCGGGAGCTCTTCTGAAAATGACATCAGTTCGTGATTTCTGTGCACCTCTCAGTAGACTGCTGAACATGCACTGCATGCTTTTCCGAGCTTCATCATGCCAGGCCGCCCATTGATCTCAATCCTAACACGGGGCTCACTTGCCTCTCCCCATCTGGCCCGCTATGGTCGCTCTCGAGCTGGCCTGACACCTGCAAGCCGTCGCTCGCTCGCCTCGTTGCCGAACCTGCCTCTCTTCCGCGCCCTCCAGAACCACGACCAATCCAACCTAGCGGTCGTCCACAGCGCATCGTCTCGCTCCTTCACGTACGGCAACCTGGTCGCGGACGTCCTGCAGGCCAAGGAGAAGCTCATACAGTCTGGAGGAGGGCGTCATGATAGTTTGTCGGGGGAGAGGGTTGCTTTCCTGGCGGAGAACAGCTACGACTACGTAGGTACTGTTCGGCTTGTCCTGTTTCCTCTCCGCATACTTGAGAGTAGGTCCTTGAACTGACCGCGACGGCAGTGACGCTTCTCTCGATCCTCGCCAGCGACGCAATCGCCCTCCCGCTCTCCCCTGCTTTCCCGGTCGGCGAACTCAAGTACATCATGGACAATTCGCAGGCCAAGGTCCTGCTGGCGACAGAAAAGTACGCCAACAAAGCCCAGGACGTCCTGAATGCTGGACTCGACCGGGAACCCATCCTTGACGTGAAGAAGAAGATCGAAGTGGGGGCCACGAGTCTGGGCCCCTCGTCGGTGACCTTAGAAGACGTTAAAGGACAGCAACCCCGCGGTGGGATGATGCTGTACACCTCCGGGACCACGAACCGACCGGTACGGAAGCTTTTCTTTTCTTTCTTCTCACCCCTGTTAGACTTTAAGAAAGTAAGGGACGGTGCTGACACACCAGCGCAGAAAGGCGTCCTGATCCCGCAATCCGCGCTGACGGCGCAAGCGGCCTCGCTCCTCCAAGCATGGGAGTACACGGCGCAGGACCGGCTACTCCACCTGCTCCCTCTGCACCACATCCACGGCACGGTCAACGCGATCGTGACGCCGGTCCTGGCCGGCTCGTCCATCGAGTTCATGTTCCCGTTCAACACGGACGCAGTGTGGAAGCGCCTCGCCGCGCCGTTCCTCTCGCCTGACCCACAGAAGAAGAAAAAGGAGATCATCACCTTCCTCACAGCCGTCCCGACGATCTACAACCGCCTACTCTCGTCCTTCCCCACCCTCGACCCAGAGGTGCAAACCTCGGCCCGCACGGCCATCCGCCCGGAGAACCTGCGGCTGAACATCTCGGGCTCCGCGGCACTGCCGACGCCCACGAAACAGGCGTGGCAGGCCCTCAGCGACGGCAACGTGCTGCTGGAGCGCTACGGGATGACAGAGGTGGGGATGGCGATCAGCTGCGGGCTGGCGGTCGGCGACCGCGTCGACGGCAGCGTCGGCTGGCCGCTGCCGTCCGTGGAGGCGCGGCTGGTGGACACGGACACGGACGAGGTCATCCGGCCGGGCCAGGAGATCGACCCGCGCACCGGCCGCGAGCGCGAGGGCGAGATCCAGCTCCGCGGGCCCACCATCTTCCAGGAGTACTGGGCCAATGCCGCCGCCACGCGCGAGTCCTTCGTTGAAGGAGAAAACGGCCAGGGCGGTGACTGGTTCAAGACGGGCGATGTCGCGACCCGCCGCCTCGTCGAGGGCGCCGGCTCCGGGGCCAGTGGCGACTGGGCCCGGGGACCCATGTACTTCATCCAGGGCCGGCGCAGCGTCGACATCATCAAGACCGGCGGCGAGAAAGTCAGCGCCCTGGAGGTCGAGCGCGAGTTGCTTTCGCTGTACGTATACTTCCTACCTTAACCCAACCTGGTCTGAGACTTCCCTCCACCCAAGCTAACCCCTCTTGCTGCGCGCACAGCCCTCAAATTTCAGAAGCAGCCGTCGTGGGCCTGCCCTCCGAACAATGGGGCCAGAAGGTCGCGGCCGTGGTGGTGCTGAACCCGGAGTTCGCGAACACGGGCGGCCGGAACGGTAAGCCCTGGGGCGCCATGGACATGCGGCGCGCCCTGAAGGATCGGCTGGCGAATTACAAGTTGCCGCAGGAGATGAAGGTCCTGAGTGGACCCATTCCGCGGAATGCCATGGGCAAGGGTGAGTCCCCAGTTCTATCTTCTCTGTTCTATTGTTTTTCTTCTCCTTCTTGAGGGCGGTGGCTAACTCTGTTACAGTCAATAAGAAGACGCTCGTTAAGGAGGTGTTTGGTGCTTGAGTTGGGTTGGGTTTGATGGGGTAGCTTTTTGGCTGTATGTCTCTCCCTCAGAGCATACGTGGGGCTCACGGTTAAATATACTTCAATATGCAAGGAATGCCACGGTACCGAGTTTCTGGGTGGTTGACTGTTATAGAATGTTATCCAGCATGTGGATATCTCTTACGCAAATACACTTACAGAGTACCTTCAGAAGACAATTGTACAGAATTCGCTAAAACAAGAGAGAGAGAGATGGTATCTTACATGGTGTACAATGGCATGAAACAATATACACCCAGAAGCCAGACTGTACTGCCCTGTACACACACACACACACACACACACACACACACACACACATCCCGCTAAGCCATGGTAGGTCTATACGCCGCCAACGTTGACTGCGCAGGCGAGCCACGGATGAACCGGGTCGCCTCCATGACGACCAGCATCCGGGCCATATCGACATGCGTGACCTTGGCCTCCACCAGACTCATGACATCCACTTGGTCCGCGTCTGGCATGCTGGGGGGCACGAGAACCCGACACCGGACGCCGAAAGCGGAGAGGACGCCGCTCCAGCCCCTGCTGTGGGACGTGCCGGCCAGGTCCGCCTGGTCATAGCGCTTGCTGATCTGGCACTGGAAGGTTGCCGGCAGTGGGGACTCGGCGAAGTAGAACGCGCGGAAGAACAGCAGACACGCCCAGAACTGCATGGAGGCGCGCTCGCACTCGCGCAGCCGAAGGCGCAACGACAGGGACCGCTCGAGCCAGCGGTCTACGTCGGCCGCGGAGAAGGGGAGGACGGAGCGGCCTTCCGTCTCGGATGCGGCGGCGGCGTCGAAACGACGGTTGTGGGCATGCTCGAACCGCAGCGCTGCCTCGATCTGGTAGTGGGCCACCACGTCGTTGTAGCGACGGAGCGGGCTGGTGGACTTGACGTACGCGTCGAGGCCGAGCGATACGTGCGGGATGGGGCGGGAGAGCGAGATGCCCGCGGGGGCAGCCAGATTCAACCATTCCTGGCCGCCAATTTGTTCCATGTTCTCCCGCGTAAGCTTGCGATACTCCGGGTGGTACTGGGTGCCGTCGTAGACGGCGGGGATGTTGCGCGACGACAACCAGGACGCGGAAACACAGCAGCCCAGATTCATGAGGAGAGAGATCAGGTTGTCGGTCGTATCGTCGCGGACCTGCTGTAAGTCGATATTGTGATGGCGTAGTCGGATCACCGGGTCGCCCAGGACATAGCGGCCTTCGGTAGCTCCCAGCTTTCGCGGCGGTAGAGCAACGGAGCCAACGGACATGGAAACGGAAACTCGGGGCGGGTAGTGGAATTCCAGCATTCCATTTTCACGACGACGTTCACGCCAGCCCGCCATCAACTGACGGAGAATGTGGAAGGTTTCCTCATCCTCAGGAGTAAGCGTCTCTGTGATACCCTTACGACCAGCGATTCGCTCGGGGAATTCTCCTCCCACGGATAGGTTCTGAGTGCTATCGTTGGCTTCGGTGTCTGGCTTGAAGATGCGGCGTAGTCGGTCATGGGTTATGTATGTCACTTTCCGAATCGTACCGTTTGCAACCTTAGTGTCCAGAATGTCGCCCTGGAGATTCATCTTGGCGCTGAATGTGAGCGTAGGACGGTTCGGGCCCAAACTGAAGTGTTTCTGCGTCACGGAGTCGGGAATCATGGGATAACTTCGCTCAGGGACGTAGAGACTCTCGGCTCGAGAGGCGGCCCACTTTATGATGCTCGATTCGTGATCCATGAATGCAGTGGGGTTGGCAACATGGATATGAATCCAGAAAGTGTCGTCTGATCCCGGGATGCGCTCGAGTGAGACACCGTCATCAATCTCCTTTGCACTAACGTCGTCTACACAGTATACTTGCAGATCACCCCAATCAACCCGCAAATCCTTCATGGAATCTTCGAGTTGGCTCTTGTCCGCGAGCGATTGGGCTTCTCCGGCTACTCTAGCCCACATATTATCGCTTTCGTGAGAGACCCCATGCCCGGGAAGAGCAAGATGATGGTCGAGAAGACGTGTATTCTCCCATGGGTGGAACACACCCAGCTCCTGCAAGAAGAGCGTGGCTGTCGCGGGGCCCAATTCCACCGCGCTGTACATGCCGGTGCTGCGCATGATATGCGACCCCGCGGACCGCATATGACCTCTTGTCATTCGCCGAGGAGGCAGGCACCAATGCTGCAAGTATTCTATGATGGCACGATCATCGTCGTTGAATTGCTCGGTGAGAACCTCACGGTATATCGCAGGGCTAGCGTTCTCTTTGGGCTCGACTCGTACGGCGCTTGGGCCCACGCATGCCACGGTGGTTGGGGATCGCACAGTCCGACTCTGCCGAATGAGACGCTGGGCCTTTAAAAGAAACTGCTGTAGAGGATGGTTGCGGATATAGGGGGTGTCCTTGCCACGGGCTGAGTTGACAATATAGTCTTGGTGCTCATGCACCCAAGTGCAGACGGTATTAATCACCTGGGCAACACGCCGAGGTCTGACTAGGTAATGGTTGACGAATAGAGAGCTCCGGTCATAATCGATCAGGAACGAGTTCTCGTGGACGCACCGATGAATGAGGAAAAGCAACGTTGGATCCAACTGGTCCTCCTCGATTTCCAGAGCCTTGCAGGCCATTTCCTCGAGGGTAAATACCAGGTTTGATTCGTCGTCTGCCACCAAGTCGTGGAGGTTGTCCAGCCGTAGCGCGTTGTTGCGGTAGATTTCCCGCACGCCCAAGTCGAACTCTTGGATCTTCTTGATGAGATGAGCTCCTGCATGCCTGGGAACTCCGCCCTCGATGGTGGACTGAAATTCACTACTCGTCGCAGCAAGATCTGCAGGGAAGTGAGGTAGAAGGGGCGCCACCATGTCCCGCGGCACGAATCCCTTCACGACGTATTCAAGGTCTCTCTTGAAACCGATGCGCCATTTACCTTTATCCGTGTAAAATTGCTGCTGCTTGGCAATAGACCGAACGTAGATTGCGTAAGTAAGGATCCCATCAGACCTGTGCGGTTGAAGGGGGGACGTCAGCGAGGTTATTGCAGAAGTGAAGAACTTTCGTAGCTCACTTACGCTGCCATGGCCACAAGGTCACCTGGCTCCAGGTAGTGATTCAGACCCGCGCCTTCATCGTCTCTGTTGTGAAGCTCCGCATCATCGTCTGACTCTCGTATGACATCGAAACCTGCATCCATAGCTTCACGGTTGTCGTTCAGCATGTTCCCTCTCCAGGCATCGGTCGCGAGCATCTTGTTCGCGGTTCCAGGTCCTCGGACAGGGTCCGCCCAATTATCCTGGCTGTCTTGCCATTTCTGCAGATAGTCTCGAACATTTCCGTACTTCTCAAATTCGAGTCGCAGCCGAAGATTCTCGAGTGAAGTTGCCGATTGCAGCAGGTCGTCGCCTTGAGTTGAAGTCGTCGGTTTGGACGGTTCATGATCTTGAGGATAGTCTTGAGGGAAGAGACACTAGACAACCAGGGATTAACCACCGGAGTAGGCAAAGCATTCGGGGATTATTTTACCTTGGATCCTATACTGAGCTGTCGCCGTTGGATGATAAGATAGTCTTTAGTGGGATTGCTGACACTTGATCTCGGGAAGGCACGCGATGCTGCGATCCCGCAGGTCCGGACAAGCTTCAGGTTGGAGGCATAGCGGTTCACACCAGCCACTCTCTGCGAGACTCTCGCCCTGGAGAGTAGCAAGGACATTCTGGAGCACCCATCATACATGCCCAACGATCGCAGAGCAGGTGTATCTGAGAGGCAGGAGGAGGGCAAGAGCGCACCGCGGCAAATCCCCGATACCGAAAAATCCACTGATAATGCCGGCATTTGCCACTCACCGCTTGGGCGGTCAGACAGTCTGCCATCAATGATTAGTCAGTTTATAGATGTTTCCAAGGTACATATGTATACAGCACATCTGGACACTGCAAGGGCAGAATGAACCTCAAACAGGAAACTATTCGTTGATAGTCTTCATCGAAAGCGAGGTCACTATCTTAGCTCGCCTCCATATACTCACTACACCGTCAATCTCTGTACCAAAGTCCCTACAGCATGATCCGAACGCCAGTCGAGGCCAATTGCATGCTATCCTCCTGCTTCGATGAAGTGAAGGGAAATACCTTGTCCAGCGTGTCTACTAGTGGATACGAAGACCGATGATACCACGAACCCAGTCACTAGCGACCTTCTGGTCTCACCTACCCCACTCTCTGCGGAACATGAGCTGACTGACATAGACCGATGCCATAGATTGGCATCCCAAGGCGGTCTTGACGCGAAGGATGCGACGAGCAGATAACTTGTGCGCTACCACCAGAAGACACCGGGCTCATGCTTGAAGACATATCTGTCAAGGTGTATGCAGGATCTCCCTGGACAGCCTCAGATGAGGACAATTGCGAGCGATCGAGTGGCCCTACCGTCACCGATGGCTCGTGGCTCGTTCTATCTGCACTAGATACGTATCAACTCACCACCGGAATAGTGGCTGCAAATAGCGTTGTCCAGTGCCTAGATCAGGCTCAGAAGCATTCCCCGCATCAATTGGCGTGACATAGCCACAGCGGTTTCAGAAGACTTGCTATACGGATGGGCCAACACCCACCGACAACCCCAGCGCGTGCATATGGTGCAAGTGTAGCGAGCCAACCCCTCTCATCGTGAGAATAAGGCTCGTGCAAAAGCGGGACTAGAGTATTTCATCTAGCGTTAGTCACGTTGACATACGACCAACAACGGCCAGTCCCCGAATTAGCCTCATCTACGCAGGGCCAGGGTCTGACCCCCATGCTTAATATAGAGATGCGGGACAGCGGCTCAAAATCCAGGGATCTGGCGACACAGATCTGCATGCAGACATTTCCGTGTGTCTGCATCTATAATAAGATCCGACAGACAGTGGCTGATCCAGTCTAGCTGATTCCAAGCACGGGGCTAGGGCCCATGCGTGCAAATCGACCAGGGAGCGCTTCACCAGGGCAAAGGTCCCTATAACAAAGCTACCTTCCCGAGCGCCAGTCCTTGACAGACGGTTGTCTCAGGTCGAAATAAGCTCTGGTGGCTGTTGGCTAGGAGTGGCCGGCTGTCCCGGAGAAGGGAGATCGCTACGCGCCAGGGTGGATGCCAATCGACATTGTAAGCGCTCGCTTCCCGGCTCAACATTAGACTGGACTGGACCCATGCGAGTCGACCATTGGCGCTGCAGCAGAGGGCAATGAGAGCCTCAGTATGGCATGGTGGTCTAGACCTGAGCTTCTTTTGTTGATCGTCGTCCGTTGGAGGATGGGAGCAGGATGAGACAAGATGGGGAGATGTATTTAAGGCCTCATTGTTCTCGACTGGATACTTCTCAAGTTGAGTCAATAAGTCTATTCAGAGTATCTCACGCCCTCCTTGCCTTTACTTTCCTTCTTCTTAATAATTATACTTTCTCTCCATACTTTCTTTCCTTTGTCCGGATTGTGTCTATTCACATCTACACTCCTTCGCTTCAAACCACCTTATAATCATCACTTGGCCCCTCATAATCATTGTCCGACCCAAAGTCGACCTAGTCCTCGCAACCTCGAGCACACACGCACATACACCAGCACACCCACATTCATTCACAGAATCAAAACCATCAACAAAATGCCTCCCTACGGCCTCCTAGGCGCAACCTTCCTAATCGCGCGCCTGATCCAAATGTGCAGCCTAATCACTATCATCGGCCTCACAGCCAACTTTATCTCGGAGATCGTGTCCAACAACGCCACACCCCCGGCCATCTTCATCGGCACCATCACAGTTGTCAGTTCCTCCCTTATCCCCCAAACCTTCCCAAACCCCCTCCCCCAAACCCTCAAAGCTAACAGCCCCCTCCCCCAAAAAAAGACAAGCATCGCCGTAATCTACGCCCTAATCACCACAATCCTCTACTACGACAACATCCTTCCCTTCCTGGCCGCCGCCGTCCTGGACACGCTGCTCCTCATCGCCGTGATCGTGGTGGCGGTCATCCTGGGCAAACCGCTGTCATACCTGCAATGCACGAAGATCGGGAGCAGCAGCAGCAACAACAGTTCCTCGGCCTATACCTTTGCCACGCATCTGAGCAGTTACCTCGACCATCTGGATGGGAAAGTCAACTACAGCAATTGGATCGGGGCGACCAAGGCGGTGTGTTTGGAGGCCAAGTCGATTTGGGGGTTGAGTATTGCTTTATGGTGCGTTTTGGTCACCTCTCTCTTATTGTGGGGGATAGAGGTGGGGCCGGGTTTGGGGCTAACGATGGATTCCTTAGTATCATGTTCTTCTTCTCTGCGATCTGTGGGATCGTTCTCTGGCGGCAGAAGAAGAAGGCTGGGGTGGAGAAGTTGGAGGGGTAGAGGAGGGTGAAGTGCTGTTGCACGATGGATTCACGGGGTGATGATAAAAGGATAAGTAATGCTGACCTGCTGCTGCTGGTGCTGCTAGTGCTGGCAACGGTGATGCTGATGTGAAGAAATGCTTGTCTGTTTGTACTGTACTGTATCACAACTGTGGACCGCTCTTCCTATATCTGATTTTGGATTCTCCGGTTTCTCGTTTGAATGTCCCTCCTGCCTTTCCTTTTATTTCATCCAGTATTCTTCCACTCATGTACTTTGGATTCTGTTCTGTTTCCCATTTCCTATTTTCAACCTTAATACTCCAGCTCCTACTTCCACATCCCAAACCATATATACTATACCAGCTCCAACCACCCCCCCCCCCCAAAAAAACAAATAATATAGTCCAACCAAGACTAGAACCAATATAATCAGCCATGAGTTTACCCCCAATCCACACCCTGGCCCCCAAAAACTCAGTCTCAGAACATACTTACATCAAAATTCACCCCGAACTAACCGGCGGAATGACCGCGACCTCATCACCGGCCCCAATGACCACCGTGCTCGCATCCTCGCCCTCGACATCGACGTACTCCTCGCGCACGCTGACGCCGCAGCTGCGGAGTACTGACGCCGTGATGCCGGGGTACCGCGCCTCCAGGAGCGGGAATAGTTGGTCGAGGGGTAGGGGCGCGGGCAGGCGCTCCGTCTGCTTGCCGGTGTAGCTGGTGGCCGTGGAGAAGTAGTGGATCTGGAAGGTTGACATCGTTGCTAGTGGGTTGATTGGGTTTCTTCTCGTTTGGCTTTTATCTCGATGTATGTGTATGGTGGATGAAGTGAGGTTGTGTTTAACTATGAGAGATGGAGTGTGAGAGAGAGAGCTGGCTGGAGAGAAGAAAGAGGTGGTCAACTTGACTCGAGTGAGGAGCTGTTAGGGTCGAGTCGTCTTGTTTGCGCGGTTCGGAGGTGAGGTTGTCAGATCAATACGCAACTTACTTGTAGAGAGATAAGAGAAGAACCGCGGCAAAGGAGGCGGCGATAAGCAGCCCCGCTCATTCCGCTCACTACCCAGTACGCACTGCGCACCCTCATTCCGTACACAAATACTGATCGTAATAATTACTTTCTATTCTTATCGCATAATCTAGTTGCTCTCGGTTAAAGCTTTGAATGCAGTCACCAAGTCCTGGCGAAGATCCTCCCAATTCTCCAAACCAACACTAATCCGCAGCAACCGGCGATCGACTGTGGTATCCGACATAGTCCGCCATTCAATAAGCGTTTCAACTCCTCCAAGGCTAGTAGCATGTTGGAAGAAAGCAAGCTTGCTAGGGAGTTTGCGAGCGTAATCTTCCGTCTTCGTGATAATCGAAAAGACAGGTCCAAATCCATTAGGCATCTGCTTCAACAACCACGACTCATCTCCCTTCTGCAGACTCGCGTGAAGCACACTGTCAAGAGCTGCCTGAACCAAAGCCTCGTCGCTACCAGAAGCAGGGTTCTGGTCGGAAAGCGCTTGATGTAGCCACGAAACAAGCTTAGTCGCGTTCTCGCTCTGGCGTTGAACCCGCACTTCGAGAGTCCGCAGGCTCCTCACACCCAGCCAGCTCTCCATATTCCCCATAACGCTGCCCAGGAAGATCCGGTCCTGAAGTAGTTGCTTAGCCCAGTCCTCGCGCTGAGTGGCAAGCACACCGCATAAAACATCGCTGTGGCCCCCAAAATATTTGGACCCCGAATGCAAGACCAGATCGGCGCCCCACTTGAACGGATCTTGGAGGAACGGAGGTGCAAACGTAGCGTCGACGATAAGGTACGCCCCTCGCGAGTGCGCCTTCTTGGCGTATGCTTCGATATTGAATGCGGTTCCCTCGGGATTCACCGGCGTTTCCAAGTGGATTACATCACCTGCTTCCAATTGCTCCGCGGGACAGTCGAGGTCCAGCTTCTGAAGTCCAGTTACGCGGCTGAAAAGTGCGATCACACCGTGACACCCATGGTAGCCATTTCCAATCGCGATACGGCGAGGGTTGAGCAGCGTTAGGGCAGCATGCAGGGCTGACAAGCCGGAAGAGTAGCTGATGGCCTCGCCATTGAGAAGGGATGAGAGAATGGCTTCAAAGCGCGTAGAACTGGGAGCCGACAATCTCGAGTATATGTGTGCTGTTTTGTCCCGCTCGTTCTATATTGCGGCATGACTGTTAGAAGCGCCCAGAGAGAATCATACGGGTAACTCGAGACATACGTCGTCTGTAAGGTCTGCGAAGGGCACAAGATCGTCAGGGTTATCGGAGTACCGGAAAGTAGTGGCAACGTGAATTGGAGGAGCAACATCTGAAACCACATTTAGAGCATCATCCGCATGGAGTGAGCGCGTGGAAGTTCCCATTTCTCGATTTGCAGGAGCCATCTTGTACTTTTCTTTCAACGAGAGAGTAGCGGTAACAGCCCTAGCAGAGGACTAGGTGCTATGTCACACAGGAGCTTATTTGATAATACGGAATATGGATGAAAAGGGCGGTTTGGGAAAGAGAGGGAGGCAGGTCAAAGCCGGGGACTGCGGCACGCCCTCCCGGCGACTTGAAACAAAAGTGGGGAAGGAAAAGAGCTTCTCCATGGCGGTGAGTTGACACGTGACTGATGGCGGGGTGGAGCTGAGATGGCGTGACATTACGCGGTTCCGACAGATAAGAGGTTGGAAACGAAAGGAGTTATCTCGGGTCTGAGTGGGGGGGAACTGTCGGGCTTATGAATTATCGGCGAAGCGAGCCCATCCGGGATGGTTCACGGACGGAGCCTGGAACAGCGGATTGGAAATTGGTCCGGTCTACACAACACCACCCCGGCGAATTAGATACCTAGACAAACAGAGGACAAACGGTTGAAGTGAAAGATCGAATACATACCTGCTTCAGAGTCGAAGGCAATCGAGATATCGTCATGCTCCATTGGGTAATCAGGTGTATCCAGAGAAACAAAGTTGGAGGCAGGATCGTCGTCGGGTTTCGGCAACGCAAATTTAGCATCGACAATGCGGACGCCGAATTTGCCGGATTTGCCGAACGGCTCGAGAGTGTCTGTGCCCTTGAGAACGAAGTTCATACATCTGCCATACTGGAAATCGCTCAGGAAAGCCACCAGTTGCACGACTCTGTCCCGGCGAATAACCTGGACCCGGGCGAGGCTCGATTCCCATTTCTTGGTGATGGGAACCACCATACGACGCCGTGATATGGCGAATGATGAGGCCACACTATTATTCCGTCAGCATCGGATGAAAAGAGAGAGAAAGGCTCTCCGGGGATCTACCTATCAAAAAGCACCTTGAACCCTGTCACGGCCTGTTGAAATGTGTGGAGATCTAAAACGACAATCAATTGGTGTTGATGCTGCCAGGAGTGTAGGAACCGTACCTTGCACGGTTGCAAAGTCGAAGCGTCGAATTGTCGGGATTGCCATGATTTTGGAGAGAGAATCGGTCAATTTATCAGGCATCTCGGGAATTACCATGTTCTCCGCAACGGAAACAGTAAGATCTCTCTGGCCTGGTCGATATAGGCTAAGGCCTGTTCGATTGTTGACATCAAGACCAAGCTTCAACTCACCAGGGCCTGCAATACGTCAGTTATGTTACCAGTTCATTAAATCCACATACGTACCGAGATTGAGACGGTCCGTAACCGAACCCCACTCCGTCGCGATGAAGGCACGCAAATGCTCCGAAAGAACGGTAGGACCATAACCATGATCCGGTCGTGTATACTGCTCATCGATGATCGAGATCGTGCCAGCGGGGAATTGGATATGTTCCTTAGCTGGTTTTCCCGCAGCTCGATCCGCGGGCTGCTCAAGTGTAAAGGCCCGAATAGAGATATCCGATGATTTCGCTTCCCGTTCCTGCGGAAGGATTCCCAACAGGAGAGAATGCAACATTGTTCGCTCTTCGAGATCTTCGAATGCCATCAGCATAGACCTGGTTCTACCATCCTCTTTGACTTTCAGAAGAAGAGCGGGTGCCCCATCGTCACCACGGAGAAGGCCGAAGACTATAGGGGTGCCACTTCCGAGAATGTGACGCACACTGCTCAGAGTCTTGATTTTCGGACTGGTAAGTATCGCTATCCGGAAGCCCTGGTGCTGCATACGCTGGCCTGTGCCCTCAGTCAACGGTACATTTCTCTCGAAGAGGCGTACGCGACATCTTTCCACAGGCTCGGAAGGGAAAGCTTTGGGAGTTACAGAGTCAATGTAGCGGAAAGTCTTGAGGGTGTTCTCGTAAATCAATGTCTCGTTTTTCTCTGGCTTGAGACTCGCTTCGGTCTTGGAGGTGTACTGAACAATGTTCCAGATGTTCTTAAAATCCTCTTCCAGGAATTGAACATGTAACTCAAAACCGCGGGGAAGCTTAACGCGCATTGAGTGTGATCGGACGTGCCAATTAACACTTTCCCACGTAGGACCATTCTTCTTATCGGATTGTATCACGATATTGACCAGATCGCTCTGGCTGGTTATGGCCGCAAAAACGTACCAGTCAGCCCTATCCCGGATTATAGACAAAGCGCATGGTATAGGATGTTGCTTGTCATCATCGTCGCTCGATGTGATACAGACGTCGACAAACATGCTTCCATAGCTGAAATAGCGGTTTGTATCGCCAAGTGGCATCATCTGCACGAAGCTGTGTGCTTTCCCAGAGGTGTCAGCTAGGAGAGATTTCGTCGCCGTTCCCGATAAAATCGCAGCAACATCGGGCGCAAAAGCAGGATACTGGACCCAGACGGTGCTGTCAATGTCACTCGGAGAACGTTCCTGCGCCAGAGTCATCAGAATATTGTTCCTCTTGATAGACATTGCCAACGACCGCAAATGATTCGATATGGTTTGACTCAGGCTTAGAAGATCTGCCAGCTCCTTGTTCCCAGTCGTACTTGCCACAGCAAGCAAAGCATCCACACTCATCGAACCGTATCGAGCCAGCTCCTCATGTTGAGGGACGATGTTCTCCGTAATCCACAATGCCTTGGCGAGATCAACGACCGCTTGCTTCGCGCTCTCTGCGGGTCGAGTCTGGGGTGACCGGACACCAGAACTCGAACTCGAAGGGCGCGATCGCGCATAGGCTTCTAGTCTCTTTTTTCCACGCAGAAACCACCACAAGGCTGCCCTCATCCATTCTGAGAGTGGGGTTCCAACAAGTGGCTTTGCACTTTCGGCGGCAATCTCAATTGGGTCCCGAAATTGTATCACATACCCCTTCAAGTCTGCGAAAGCAGTGTCACCTAGCTGATTGGCAATAGACTTGAGAGAAAACTTCGGCGGCTGTGGACTGCGAGAGGTTTCTCGCGCGTCTATACTAGACGGTCGGCTTGCAACTTCTGGAACGGGTAGGTTAGGATTCGGCTGGCGGATCGGGGAGGAAAGAGTCTGCATGTTGCTACTTGTTGACAGAACCGGAGAAAGAACAGGTCTCTCCGACGCCACAGACCGGGTGACCGAGGGAGGACTCGGAGAGTCTTTGAATGGGTTTTCCGGAGGGGTTGGCTCTGTCTCAGAAATCGGCGGCGTCTCGTAGGTCGAACTAGGGCTATCCGGAACTCTTAGAGCCGGAGATTGAGTTTCGTTCTCATCGCCGGGCGACATAGGATCCGAGAGTCGATGTTGCAAAGCAAGACCCTCCTCAGCTTGCATCTTCGCCCGAACGCGTTGCGCAAACGAATTCGACTCTGGGGAGGCTCTAAATGACAGACGGGAGCCTCTTTCTCCCAGACTCAGGGTCATCAAGAAATCCGCATCCTGGGCATTATGGAGGAGAAGAGGTTTCCAGTCCTCTGCTCTCGTTCCAAGTGCTAGTGCCTTAGGATGTTCGCGGCTTTTTTCACGGGGCTTAGGCGCATCATTTCCTCCGAACGAGGTGTCGAGACGCAATTGAGGAGGTGCTTCCGGCTCGGACTGGCTGTCTGACTCGGTTGATTCCAGGCTTTGAGCTCTGTTTCGACACAAAGATATTTCCATTGTTGGAACCTCTACCTCGTCTCCTCCTTCTCCGATGACTTCAGGCTTCCGATCGGCAAACCTCACCTTCACTCCTTTTCGAGGACGACTCTTGTATGGGGGTTTTGTGAAGTCCGCTACTGGAGTAACAACATGGGCAGCGGCGATTGAGGACGAGGCACTGAGCACATCCTGGGCAGAGGGCCAGCGACTGGCAGCATCCGGACGCAGCGGCCGCAGTTCGCGCTGAGTGGTTGTTGCACCGTAGGACAGAGACTTGGAGCGAGTAGGTCCCAAGAATGCCTCAATCTGTTGGTCTGTAGATCCTCTGGCTTTCTTGTCCTTGGAAAACAATTTCTCCCTCCAATGCGGCTTCTTGCCGTGGGTCTGTTTCTGTTCCTCGCCGAGGAAAGCAAAAGGGTCCTCTGTGGACATGCTGGCCAGTTCTCCTGTGGGTATATTCCTTCGATTTGCTATGAGTTGCTATACAGCATTGCCAATTGATGCCAGTCCGTGTTTCCCCACCTATTCTTGGATTGCAAGTGCTCGTGCGCTGCTTGGAGGCTGGACAGGGGGGTGATCGACAGGAGGGACTTTGGATGAAGCTTTGGAGTCGATTGCAAGGTAGCCGTGAACAGAGTATATCGGATGAAACAGTGACTCTATGAGGGCGAGAGGGGGCTGGCGGGCAAGCTCAAGACGTTGGTTTCACGGAGTTGTTTGTTATGCGCTGCTGGACGAAATCCAAAAGCAGCAGTGAAGAATTGAAGTCAACCAGTGCTAAAGTCAAGGATTCGAATTGCGACCAGAGGGATTCCTTGCAAATGAGGGGAAGCAAGCGCGATTGCCTTCGTTGACCGATGTGGAGACGCGGACAAGCGATCTACCAAGACCAATTAAACCACTGTTCAGAACGGAGACCATAGAACAAAGGGGAGATGAGGTTGTCAAGCAATGCTCAGGGGGGACAGAGGGGTGCAAACGAGCCAAAAGAGACATTGTAGCAGGGAATAGGCAATCACCTACATTAAAAGGCTAGTTATAATGCCGGAAAACGCTTGTGCAGACGAATTCAGGCGCCTTACAGTCGCTCGATGCGCCGTCGGCTGTACTGTACAGATGATAAGAACTCTAGAAAGGGAGAGATTGCCAAGCGCTGGTCCAGCAGCTGCTTGCGACTTATTTGGGAAAGAAACACTTGGTGCACGTAAGGAAGGAAGAGGGCAAGAAAAAGGAAGAAGAAGAAGAAGAAGAAGAAGAAGAGTGGAAAAGAGTACCAGCGCAATAGGAAGAAAGGGGGGAGAGTAGAAAGACCGAGAGATTAGAGGGAATTCATAAACAGCACCATGGAAAAGAACATGTGGGCACAAAACAATGGGGACGGTTGAACCCGTGGTAACTTATTAAGTCTCACTTGCGACCGAGGGATTAGATTTGGGTTGGGAGGGGAGGGGAGGGGAGGGGAGGAGGAAAGCCCAGAAGAGTTCCTAAGGCAGTTTTACTACGTATTCAGTACTAAAGTCACTGAGTACTACGGTAGGTACTGTACTAGGCCTGAGGTACCTACCTAAGTCACTACTAGGTACTGTACTTGATTACCAAAGGGCCATTCTCCGGCCCCTGCAAATGTCCACTAACTTACCACTACGAGAATGATCACTTAGTATGTGTACACAGTACAGTACGGAGTAACTTTCTGAGTATTATCTACTGATTGCGCTTAAAATCTAACCACAACTGACTAAATCTCGAGCCACGACAACCAGCGTCCCCGCAAACTCTCTTATCAATGCTCACCTGCAGACAAATCGGCCTGATGTCTTACCATCTGCTGGTCTCTCCCGTCAAGCTACTACGGTGTACAGGATATCCGATGTATCTATTAATACCCATGGTGGTTTCGGTAGGAGGTACTTAACTGAGTATTTTACTCGAGTAAGTATAGGCATGTTTAACTTAGCCGACAACCTTGAGCAGCGCCCCCTCCCCCATTTTTCCGGCATGTCAATCACGTGGTGATAACCAGGACAGCCATAACGGGAGATCCATATATATTCTATCAATTCACAGAGTAAGTTACTACGTACTGTACCTTATTCGGATAAGTTGATCATTTTCGTTTCGTCTGTTATGCTTTGGTAATGTTCCCGGTATGGGGGAGGGGTTCGCTGAATGCTGCGCTCATTGACTCGCTCCAAGCTAACAAGCGCTTCCTTCTTCGGGCGGCAATCCTTTCGACAGCCCCTTCCCTTCGACCTGTCGACATAGACAATAGACAAAAGAAGCTGGAAGATGATCCTCAACCGCAAATGACACGCGACGACAATGACCACGACCACGAAGCTGTACACGTATGCGGCAGATAGGAGTAGGATCAGTAAATGACCATCATATCCACTTGTCTATGGAAATAGACTAATTAACTGGCCGCCGCAGGTTGAAACTGACGTGGACTTGGGGGTGAGACGGGGTTGAATCAAATCGAATCAGCATCAACTGCCCCCCCTGTTATCAGAGAAGCCGATCAGAAAGGCTGAGGGCCAATCCATGACGGGTTGGTGGGCTGTTTAGTTGGCTTTCTCCCCCCCCGCCCCACAAAGCTATGCATTCCATCCGTTGGCTGATCCCAGCCTGAAATCTTGAAACCGCTCTTTGCCTTATCTGGTCATAGTCTGGCTCTGGGTGGGTCGCTCATTGAAACCTTGCACTCCCGCCATCCATGTAGAGGATTGTTATTACCATTATTCCCTGGGAATGCCCGGCTGCCACTGCGAGGGGGGGCGACCGGGGATAGGTAATTATGATGATAGTTCCCCCATTTTACTATCCAGGCATCAATACTATGTTTGCCTCCCCTTACCTGGTAGAACTCTCGAGAGACATGATCACCTCAATAATCCTAGGATAGTGGTGGTCTCTATCCCAGGGTCAATGCGACTCAATGCCACTACAAAGGGCTAGCTACCCTACAGTACAATCCCCTACGAGTCATGGGGATCGGCAAAGCCATTGAACAACCTCATCAATTGCTGGAAATCGCAGGTGTTTATGCACCAGCGTACAAGAACATACTTACTCATACATGAGTGTGTCCTCAGACCGCACTAATTAATTTAGTCGCAATCCTCCTCGGATTTCCTCAATCTATTGCCAGTCGTTAAGCAATCTCCCATTGTATTGGGCGCAACGGCACGAGACCATCATCAAGGGTTCCTGGGATGCTCTTGTTTGCTGTCAATCATTTCCCGCGTTTGCTCGGCAGATCATCTCAACTGATGGCTTGTCGTTGCTGGGTGATGGTGATCGACAAATAAAACTGATAAAGCCATCGCTGATGGATCGCACAACAACCATGTACTGTACTAAGTAAAAACACTTCACAGATCAACAATTACAGACCGAATCTCCAGTCTCTTGAAGACGTGCATACTCTGGCCCATACTTAGGCTTAGGCACCTCAGGAATGTAACCTTGCACAGAGGATCACCCTGTCCTGTGGTTATTTGCTCAATCTAGATGCGTCTTATCGGCAGGCACGTATTGTTAGTCAAGGCAGACATGAGCGTTAAACTCTCTCAACCACAGGGCTTCAGCTGCTAGGAGATCACAAGCAACTACATAAGTGACCATAAGAAATAAGTCACTCAGTTTCTGTCCGTCCCCTATCTGTGAGTGAATGATTCTCGATGGCCCCGGGTTCTTCGGACCGCAGTTGACAAACCAACCTTCAGCGTCAGGCCATTGATACTGCGAACCCAAGCTCTGGCGAACAAATTCCAGCAGTGAGACAGGACTAGCCACGCACAGAGCTATCATACAGTGCATTGTATCCGGTCAGGCCACAGACTTCGAATTGGTCGCAGGCTTCTAGAAGCGCAATCAATTCGAATGGGAATGACAGTCGGTTAGCTGCCTGGGTCAGGACCGGAAGGGAGATTGCTTGCATGCCGGGTTTCCTCTTTCATCTCCGCCGGCGGCCAATGTCTCTCATGTCAGCGCATAGCACGGAGTACGTAGGCAAGTGTCTTTTGTCCAATTCTCGCCCTTATGCAGCGTAGAATATTGTGTTCCAGCACGATATGCCCAGGGCTGTTATGTGTACTTCGATAAGTGTGATAGGGACAGTAACCTAGCTGTCGGCAGATCAGATTGAAGTTTAACGGAGCATTATTTTCCCGCATGCTGCTGCAATGTCCCATAGTCTGCAAGACAAAGATTCCTAGTCAATGATTGGATGTTACTTGTCTCCACAGGCTTCTTCTTTCTGGTCGTCTTGGATTCCATGCCGAATAACCCTCTGTCGACCGAGCTTCGGATAGACAAGCATACATAGCTGTTCAAATGGGAGAAGAATGTAGGACAGAATGTCCAGCACAAGTGCGACGTGGTACCGCTGCCCGGCGACGGTTTAATGCTAAGCTTTCCTCATCGTGCAGATGAAGACTTTGGGAGTCTGAGTAGGGACTTTTGTATCACAATCATAACAACACAATGGACGCCGGGTTCGTGTCCGAGTTAGCAAGACTAGGCAGCTGCATTGTTTTCCACCTCCCCTCCAGTTTCTCCTTAAACATCCTTCTGCCCGCCCCTAGTGACCCAGTTCAGCTTTAACAAGTAGTTAGTCTAGCATCGGGACTTTCCTGTTTTAGGGAGAGTGTCTCTGGAAGAAACTAGACTGTTGTCTCAGTGACATCTCTCTCTCAATATATGGTCCAAAGGAATGGGGCTGCAAACCAGCGGTGAATTGGCCGCTAGTTACCACCTGCTTAGCTTCCTAAAGACGGCGAGAGCGCCGTTCTTCATGCACGATGAACCCTCGTATCTTGCACCATGTGATTTTTTCGTTGAAATCAAAGGGCAGCTCGTTTTAACTCTGATTGTTCATAGAAGCAGTCGGAGTCGATTTGAACAATGATTTCAAGCTAGCATGGCGGCCGGTAACCTTTGGCACAACTACAGGATGTTTTGGCCGCCAAAAGCCTTACTGTGTAGAGCTAAATGGCCAGTCCCCACCTGTCATCACTATCGTGGATTCATGGAGAATATCTAGGGCTACAGTACTGTAGTCTAGTCGCTCAATACTAGCATGATCATTGGATGGGCCAATCATAGACCATTTCCCCAGAAGAGTTCCCCAGGCGAGTTCGGTGATCCTTTCTTCACAATGAATTGCTTGATGTCGCGGAGTACAGCATACACATCGTGCCGTCTCAATCCGGTAGTCTCGATTGAGCTGTACTGTACCGGAAAGATATATATTCCATTGCATGGCGCAAACGAAGCGCCACGAAGCACCTATGACGATTAAGAGTAATCCGTTCCTGCTAAGATCATCTACTGCATCGAAATTCTGAACAAGACGTAAGCGTATTGGTGGCGCACTTGAGTTGATCGTTGTGCAACAATTTTCTACTCCCAATCTACGGAGTACTTACTGTGTGCAGTGAGTGGGATAGAAAACCAATTCTCAACAAAGCAAAAGGAAGGGCTTGTAACCCGTAAAAGTGGTAGCATGGCTGAGACAGCATCAGGGATTTTTCTCTCTTCCAAGACCAGAGGAGTGGATGCTTATCCACCATGGATGTTCTGTCTGGTTGTCCAAGCAAGTTTTATACGGGCCTTATTCTTTTGAGTTTCTTTCTTCTCTTTCTCTTAGGGGAGTGTGGTCGGGGAGTGGCTTCTAATCTTGGAAAAAACGCTAAAAAAAAACCCAGTCCCCGCCGCCCGCCCCAATCAGTCAACTGTTTTAGCGCAGCAAAGTGAGCAAACAGGGCGCAGTCAGCAGCACCACAACCAACTGAAACTAAAGTGCTGGCTGGCTGGTGCTGGCTGGTGCTGGCTAATGCTGGCTAATGCTGCTCTTCTTGCCCTCCATTCCCGAGCTGGCACTGACAGGCCATGACGGTGACTGAGACTGAGACTTACTGACTGATTCGACTGACTAGTGTCTGACTGTCTGGGCTCTGGCCTTAGTGAGACTGGAGAGCAAGTGAGCGTAAGAGAGAGAGAGAGAGAGAGAGAGAGAGAGAGAGAGACTGAGAGGGGGGAGGATTTCACATTCCCTAACCATGCTAATCTTTTCCTACTCTTCTCTCTATTTTTTCTTCCCCTTCTCTTCGTCACGGCTGTGCTGTTCCAGCTTCAAGCCTTACTGACATCAGACCTATCTTCCCCGCCCCTTTTCTCATTAACTGTCATCATTGCGACCGACTCCTCCTCCTCGTGTTGACAGCTTAAGCTCTCCCGACCTTGCGATAATCCATTCCCCTTCCCCGCCATCCACATCCCTCCCACCCACCCCCCGAACCCCCGAAGTTATGGTGCGCATCCCCTACATCGCCATTTTGGGGGAGATAGAGGAGTAATCAACTTCTCCTTTTCGACTTCTGTCTCATTAGCTTCCCTTGCGCCCACTTCATCTACTTATTCGCATTCAGCGTTTCGACATCACCTGGTCCACCTCCCCCATTCATCGTTGCATTGTTTTCAAAAGAGTTCGGAAAGGTTCGCGCGGCTACCATTCTCACTGGATAAATCTTGTGGTTTGATCGACGAGGCAAAGACGCTGCTAGGACAACGTGGATTGAACCGTCTACGAGGGGGCTGACCTCCCCGAGGGGGTCATCCCAGTTACACAGAGTGGCCGAAATGAGTCCAGGACGCGGCGCAAGACGGATTGATATTCCCTTTACCATGGTGGTCCCACGCCGAGATGGAGTTGAGGTCCCTAAAACCAAAGAATCCGGATTACAAACCCGAAGATCGCAGCGCCTTGGGCGACTGCGACCGCGATGGCGCAACAATCGGTCGCTGTTTGCCGGAGTCAGCTGGATAGTACTGGTGTTGATGTCGTGTGCATCGCCGAGCTACGCCGCGTTGTTGAATTTCGACAATTGCCTGAATGCTGCTGTCATCCAATCCAATCCGAAACAACTCCAGTTCGTCCCGCTTGACGTGTCGGTCGCTTTCGACTTGCATGACTCTCTCAACCCCCTCAATATCACGGTCTATGGGAACGTCTCTGGTACAGCCAATGGGGAAACATATCCAAGCCCGGATAGTCCCGACTGGTCCAATCCAAATGATACGGTGGGGAAGATCGTGTATTACGATGCTGCCAGCAATAAATTGAGCACTCTTTTGACGGAGATCAACGTGCTCAGTTGGAATCCATATACTCATGCATCGAAGTTTTGTGAATCTGTCACTCAGGGGGAGTGTCCGTTGGGCCCCGTGTTCTACACCAATGCGTGAGTTCTCTACCTTCAATCTCCTGGCCACTGCTAATCCGCGTTGACTGGAATAGGAGCGATCTTTCGGCCCTGCGAGCTTTCTCGGTCCAACATGACATGCAATCCGCGTACCATTTCTCGACCTTGTCAGCACGCCTGACAATCAAGTCTGCCGATGCTGCTGCCACACATATTGGTTGTATCAGTGTGGATATCACCCCTGACCTTGGAACATCTCTTCGAAACACAATCACATATATCCCGTTGGCCATTCTCTTGCTGGTCGCGATTGCTACTGTCACTGCAGCGATTTACAGCCCATGGGGAACCACCGACCCGTTTCACTGGACCAGCAACTATGGACGCGACGAGGATGTCCTTCGTCTAGTGACCCCGGGCTTCGGGGATTGCCTGAACTACATACAGTTCGCCGTGCTTACTGGAGCCTTGTCTTTGGACTACCCTGGATACTACCAACCTGTGGTTAGTCAAGTCGCCTGGTCGGCCCTTATGTTCAATCAAAGCCTCTTGGACCCCGGAAATGAGCGGAATCCTGTAGCTGATGGCGTCTATACTGTCAATGCTACCTACGGCTTGGACAGGTTGAATCAATATGTGGGATTGCCAACATCACGCGACATCTGGCCTGGAATGATGGTCTGGATGCTTGTGATTGTCGTCTCAATCACAGTCCTGATCCAAGTAGCCTTCGGGCTTCGCACGCTCTATCGTACGATTGCCCACGTGCCGGAGGAAGACCTTCGGTCCAAGAACATGCCCTTCACCATTGGAAACGTCATCCGGATCGTGTTCAACTATTTGCTGCTGCCACTCATGTCTTTCTCGTTCTTCCAGCTCGTGATTGCCGGCCAGTCTCCGGCCTACTGTGTCGCATTAGCGGTGGTAGTGATCTTGATCCTGGCATCCTTCTCCATTTGGACCACTCGCTTGATCGCGACCACGCGCCCGAAATCGTACCTGTTTGATGACCTATCGACGGTCCTCCTGTATGGCCCATTGTACAACACTTTCTGCGACGACGCGGCCGCCTTCGCTCTGGTTCCGATCTTCCTTTCATTCGCCCGCGGTATCGCTATTGGAGCGCTGCAGCCGTCAGGAATCGCTCAAATTGTGCTTCTCGCCATCTGCGAGGTGGTCTCACTACTGACATTGGTGGCGTTCCGACCATTCGCATCACCCACTTCCATGAACCTCTATCATGCCTGTTTCTCCATCATCCGTTTTCTCACAATCTTACTCAGCATTGTTTTCGTCCCCTCACTAGGTGTTTCGCAGGCTGCACGGGGCTGGATCGGATACATTATCCTTTTTCTGCACGCCCTAGTGCTTGTGTTCGGCTTCTTTCTCAATGCTCTTCAGACCTTGATTGAGGTTATCGCACGACTTGCCGGAGCGGGAGGCAACGAAGGTGGGGTGACACGAGGTGGTCTGGTCAAAGTGTTCGGTATGCGACAGCTGTCACGTCGTGTTCCCCGACAAAGTGTCGGCACACGCCAGAGCATGGGATCTGAGGCTGCGATGTTGGCACATACCGATGACCGCCTCTCTTCCCAATTCGATGGATCCAGACCTCGAAGTCTTTCCGGAAGTTCTGCTATGCTTCTGCATCGGGCGGGTGCGAGCGAAGGCCGCGCGAGTGCCTTCTTTGAGTCAGGGAGCGCACAGGGTGGAACTCACAGTCGAGCTAATAGCAGCGGTTTCTTCACGCCATCAACGCCCGGTGGATTCGCTGGACCAGGCTGTCAGACGACGGGCAGCAATTCGCCCAAGAGCGG